GGTGTTATATTTGAGGGTCTTGCTTTCAAGAGTCAAGATCTAAAAGGTTGTCTTGTTATTACTACATAACAAGTAAGGTAAACATCTAAACCCTATTTACATATAGATTTCAAATTATATGCTAGTTATAAGGGTTTTTCTTTTGTATTCAAATTTGCATGTTCAACTAGTGAAAACCTAGATCCAAAGCAATTAGGGTTGCATGAACACTTAGGTTTGTTGTTATGCTTAAAACCCATCAATGGTATCAGAGCCTAAGATGTGTTTCAGTTGAATTTGATGCAATTATGAATTTTCCAAAGGGGAAGGGAGCAGAATCCTCATTCTATTCATAAAACTCAACAAGTTCATACTGGAACTCGACGAGTTCACTCGTCAGATCCCTGATATTTTGATTTTGATATCTTGATTTGATTAGGATAATTACATTAATTCGTTTTTACTGCTTAAAATTGATTTTTTCTGAAAAGCTACATGAATATCCTTATCCAAATTAATGATTTGGTCAAATTTTTAGATAAAGACAAAATTAATTTATTAATTTAATAATTTAAAATTTGATATAGTGTTTTTGAAAAGTTTTAAAAACACACCTTTTTATTTTATAATTTAAAATTTGATTAAATAGTTTAATTTTGAAATCTTAAAATTAGAACCCTGGTATTTTAAAATTTTAAAATGCACCCTTATACTATATAAAAGAAAAGGTCTAGTATTATATATATGTATAAGAATAGTTATTCTTACCGTTAGTATGTCTCATTCACGAAGTTGGTTTATAAGGGGTGTTTAAGGAAGCGACCTATAAAATGACTACCATTGAGTATCCATTCTTAACTACTACAACCTTGACTAGTGGAGGACCGTTAACCGAACGGGTAGGGTAGGAAATTAATTTCTCATTAACAAGTTTAATGAAAAATATAAAGTAACTAAATTTTTTACAAAATTCCCAATCTTAGGTACTTTTGGAAAATGTGAATTTGATGCTAATCCATGAAATTGCACATTACAGTTTATAAAAGTCGTTAATGGAGCGTGTGTGGTTAACCGACATACTAATATGGACTAATAAAGGGTGACAATGGGTAGCTCGTAAACTATCGTTGATCAATCAAGCGTGTATGGTTAATAGACATATTGATTAGGTGATAAATGACATCGAGAGTACCAAGCAAATTTGCATCGTTATTCACACCTTGTTTGTGATCCTCGGTATCTTAGTCACAAATGGAAATAGCATAATCGAGATTAATCATGCCATTGAATAGTTCAATGAATCTCAAAACATCTAGGAATTTCATTTAAAATTTCGTTTTCATGGTAGAATTGGTAAATCATCATTTACCCACCTTCAAATAATTTATAATTGGATTACGTCCCTTTTCTGAATTGTGAATTATTGTGTTGAATCCTAGCCTTAATATTTCATTTGGGTGTTATATTAAGGATTTCCTTATCTAATCAAAACTTGTCTTTCTTCTTTTTCAGATGTCTACCTCAAACAACACTTTTGGCTCCTCAAACACGAACAACAACAACTCCTTGAACTCTTTCTCGCTCTTGAACATTTGTGCCAAGGTGACATTCGATGGTTCCAATTTTAATAATTGAATCCGTAACATTAGAATGGCCTTGTGATTCAAGGACAAGGAATACATCCTCTACAAAGAGATGAACGAGATAGATGAATCTAATGCTACTCCTGAAGAAATAGATGAGAATACGACCCACTTCAAAGACATGACCAAAGTGTCACGTATCATGGTGGCTACTATGACTCTTGAGGTACGACGATTCTATGAGGACTATTGGCCTTATCAGATGTGCCAAGACTTGATGGAAAAGTACCATCAAAGAGGATGTCAAGAAAGGTATGAGATAGTTAGGTCACTCATAACCACCAAGATAAAGGATGGAGAGTCCATCACGACCCACCTGCAATGCATGCAGTGATATGTGGATCATTTGCTTAAACTTAATGTGAACTTCGATGAGGAGCTGGATATTTACATAGTCTTGCACTCATTGCCTCCTTGATATGATCAGTTCAAAATGACTTATCATTTGAGCAAAGAGAAAGTCACGTTGAGTTAACTTCAAGGCTTGCTGAGAACCATTGAAGGTGGATTGAAAGGAAAAGGTGTTGAATCCACTCTTACTGTTGCTGCTCCAGTCCTTGCTATTGGATAAGTGAAGGGAAAAAGAGGAAAGCCCCCTTAACGCAAAACTGGAATGGAAAGTCTCACGAAGAGTGTTCTAGTGGACACAAAGGAAAATCTGGTATTGCTCACCCTCTTGCCTCAGATCCAAAATCAACTTGCTTCTACTGCCAAGATAAGGGGCATTGGAAGAGAAGTTTCCCTAAATACTTGCAGGATATTAAGGATGGCAAGTTCAAGCCTACCTCGGCAGTTATTTACATTATTTTGTCTAAAAACTCATTGCATTCTAATTTTTGGGTACTTGATATAGGATATGGTTTCAAATTTTCTCTGACTTGAAGCGACTAAAAGAAAGTACGAATGTGGAGCTTGGGAAGATTAACCTGATAATGGGCAATAGGAGATCGTCACCTATTACCAAGATCGGTGTTTATTCTTTATTTCTTAGTAGTGGGTTGTGTTTGGACTTAAAAAATTGTTGCTACTCGTCAGAAATGACAAGGAATATTATTTCTTTTCATGGTTTGTACAAACAAGGTTTTAGATATTTTTTCAATAATGAGAATGCTTCTATTAATGCTTATTATAATGGTGTATTTTATTTTAAAGCATCGCCTTGTGATGTTGTATATGAAACTGTGATTGTTGTAGACAATTTAGGAAATAGTGTGTTGCAAATTGATTCTTCTAATGGTTTAGACAAAGCATGCTTGTGGCATTGTCGTCTTGGACATGTCAACAAGAAGTGCATTGCCCAAATCCAAAAGGATGGAGTGTTGGAATCATTTGACCTAAGGTCGGATGATACATGCAACTCTTGTCTACTTGGAAAGATGACTAAATCATCTTTCATTAGTTCTTGTGAAAGAGGTGAAGGATTATTGGATCTCATACACACCCATGTGTGTGGGCCCTTCAAATCCACCACAAAGGATGCAAATTGATTTTATGTGACTTTTACTGATGATTATAGAAGATATGGATATATCTACTTAATCAAGCACAAGTCAGAAACCTTTGAAAAGTTCGAAGAGTTTAAACATGAAGTCAAAAATCAATTAGGTAGGAAGATCAAGATGCTCAAATCTGATAGAGGTGATGAGATTCTTAGTATCGAGTTCCACAACTACCTCAAGGAATGTAGAATTGTTTCACAATTGACACCTCCTAGGACACCACAACTTAATGGTGTGGCTGAGAGGCATAATCGAACCTTGTTGGACATGGATTATTCCATGATGAGTCAAGCTTTGCTACCAATCTCATTCTGGGGGTATGCCTTCGAGACTGTCGCCCATATCCTTAATCTTATCCTGAGAAAGAAGGTTGCCAAAATACCTCACGAGATGTGGACAGGGAATGTTCCCTCATTGGTACATATCAAGGTTTAGGGTCGTGAAGCTTTCGTTAGATGAGAGATACACAAAAAACTTGAACCTCGAAGTGAGCGATGTATTTTCATCGGCAACCCACACAAATCCTTTGGTTACCTATTCTACAGACCAAGTGAGAACATGGTTTTTGTAGCACGAAGGGGAGTTTTCCGCGAAAGGGAACTTATATGCAAAAAGGACATTACAAACCATGAGTATGTTATTAATTTGCATTTCTCCACTGATGATATTACTACCACCAAGGCTACCATCGTATACTAATATTTCCAATAATTTCTATAATTATGCTACTCTAGAACTTCCAAATACCCATTACATGTTCATATTTCATAATAGTATACAAGTATAGCGTTCCAGACACTAAGTCCACCATTGACCTTTAATTCTTTGATACCAAACTACAAATACAACCCTATGGGTTCCAAATCTGAACATAAAAATTTACAATAATCATAGTATTGTATTTAACATGCAATCAACACAATACAATAATAACATACATCTAGGTAACATATATATATATATATATATATATATATATATATATATATATATATATATATATATATATATATAAAGGAAGTGAGGTTACTCACTCCGCTAGTTAGTGAAGACTAACTATGATTCTGACCTCAAGGTCTTTACTGCTTTCCAATTTGTCACTTGTCTAGACCTATTTCGACACACTACTAGAAAAACAGCCTTTTACGACGCTCATTGCGCATCGTAAAAGGCTCAGACGACGCGCAAATGCGCGTCAAGGAAGGCCCTGTCATAAAGAGAGACGATGCGCTTTTGCGCGTCGTCTATAGTCGACGCGCAATTACGACACGCGTTTACGACACGCAATGCGTATCAAGGAAGGCCGTGTCATAAAGGAAGACGACACGCATTCGAGTGTCGTAACCTTACGACGCGCGTGTTAATGACCCGCAATCCGTATCAAGAAAACCCCTGTCAAGAAAGGCCATGTCATAAATGAAGATGACACACATTTTTGCGTATCATAATTTTAAATGTTTAAAAAAAAATATTATTTATAGATTTACGTATTTTCAAATTAAATTTGTATTTAATGTTTCATAATAGAAAATAAAATATCGTATACAAAAAATAGAATCCATTGTATAAATTTAATGTCATACAATTCTATTTCTTACAATATATGAATTTGCATCTAATCTACTATGTACATTAATTTAATGTCATACTACATTGCTATTAAAGAACACCTTAAATCAAAATTGTAATCAGATTCGACATTTCCAGCCAAAAAAAAAAAAAATAACAATTAATTTCTTTCTACATAAATCTGCTCCATAAGAAAACTTAAGCATACCAAGATTCTTATAACCAGAGGCAAAACAATTTAGTGCAGCCTTTCTAAGTTCACCATCCCGTTCTGCTGTTAGATTTGCAACAATTCGCAGGTTTTTTTTATCTATCCACTTATCTGCACCATAATCATGGAAAGCATGAGCAACCTTCAGTTATAAGCCTATAAGGTGTGCGAGTGTGACACATTAATTGAAAGGACTATCATATGTAGTTATATACCTCAGGGTAATGGTTATCAAGCAAAAATCCAACAAGATTAGTACACTCAATTTTTGTCTTGTTGTTTCTAGGATGCGGACCTTCCAAAATATATGGGAAAGTTATAGCAGTTGAATAGCTATGTATGATCTTCTTCATTAGTATAGTCTCAAATTTCTTGCAATACATGCCTCTACAATCAGATGCCCCTTCCACATGGTGAAGCACAAGTGCATCTTCCTCCCCTGACTCCACCTGTAATTTATGTATTTGTATACATTTTTTAAACATCATTTATCCAGTCAACACTTGATCTTTTAAAAAAAAAGAACAAAGCCTCAATAGCTATCAATGTACTAATTAAAACCCATACATTGCTGAGAAATTGAAAAGCCTTCTCGATCCCATGACTCTCTTTGATATAAAGGAAAAGGTGTATAGTCTGCACATCATTAGAATGCATATATTAATTGGTGACTAATATATTAACAACAAAAAGAAATTAAAAAAAAAAAAGAAAAAGAAAAAACTTGTTACCAAGCTTGATAGATCTTCCTTAATTGAGCTGTCCGAAGATGGCAATTCTCCACCATTTTCCTCAAGTTTCTCAATCAATTTTCCCGAATATAATATCAAACCAAAGTTATAAAACCGTTTTAATAAAATGTTTCATGTAGAGTTAGCTGTTGCACTTCACCTTAGTTACGAAAGAGCATATGGAGACTGATATTCTCTGAATCACATCAACAACTGCTCCAGACCTGATATTCTCTGCATCACATCAACATCTGGCTGTAAAATCAATGAGTGTAACAAATATTTTTTTTACAGTTTTACTTTTGATGATCATTAAAATTTGAAGATCATACCTTTGCACCACATAAAACTAAAAGATGGAGACAGCTAGACTCCATATCCTTAACAGCCCCACCTAAGGAGATGGAGTGATCCTTTTCATTTTGATCCCATTCATCCAAATATGGAATATCCATTTGTCAAAAACATACAATCAGAATTAAGAACAATATTTTACATTAAAAATAAGGGAAAATTAATAACAAAATGAAAGTGAAAATGAAGTGAATTGACATTCTAACTTGTTTCTTGAGGATAGAGTGCAACTTCAAGTCCTGATTCAGCTGTTGTATCTGAAATTGTTTTTATTATAGATATTTTTTATATGGCAATATTGTTTTTAATCTAATTCTGATGATGAGTTGCTGAACTTTTTTCCAGGAGGTGATTGGGAAAACAATGAATGGAACCACTTATGATGGACTTAGAGCAAGGACAACAGGGGCACTACAGAATCACTGGTGAGTGGAGTAAATGTTGCAGTCAACACAGATATGAGTTGATTCTTAACTTTGTAAATTGCAATCTTATTGCTAACTAGAATACACTTTAGGTTGATGCATATAACTCAAAGAATTTGTTTCATTTTATAACTGATTGGAACCACTTATGCTTGACTTTAGGTTGATGCTAATCTTTGTGATGCAGTTTTCATGATTGGTGATGTTGTTTAGTTTGCTAGAAAAGTGTCCTTGAGTCACGTATTTTTAGATAGGGGTAGTTTGGGAAATCATCAAGTAAAGAGAATTAGGGACATTAGGGTCATTTTAGGCATTTTATATTAGTTAGTTTGTTATAATAGATGGTATAAGAGGGTAGTGGGAAAGAGAATCAGCCAAACTATCTTTCATAACGAATTAACCAATATAAAATGACTAAAATTCCCCTTCCCTAATAAGATTCTCTTTATTTGATGATTTCCCAAACTACCCCTATTAAAAAATATGTGATTGAAGAGGGTGCATAACAGACTTTCTGAGTGAGAACCTATACGGGAGACTAGAAGTTTAATGTTCATTGAACTCAATATGGTGACAAAACAAGTACCTTTGGAACCTAATTTGTAAGACTTCAATAAAAAATTTGATAATTTAAGGAGTACCAGTGGTTTTCTTAAAGAGGCTAAAACCAAAACCACGCTTCGTGGATTGCAATAAAAAAATTGATAATTTAAGAACAGAAAATAATGTGACAAGATTTATGAATCTGTCAGACAACTCATTTTTAGAAGCTTTTATAGTGACTTACAGGTGCTTTTGGAGGCGTCTGTAAATCTACGATGTTCCCATCCATGTCCACAGAGGTATCCCATGTATGACGATTTTGCCCTCCACCTTTTCGCAAGATATCTTTTGAGGTCTAATTCGGTTCAAGAAACAAGAACATAAATTAGTTTAAAAACTGAAAATAGAGAAAGATTTGTGGACTACAAAAGTGTAGAAATATAATACTGAGAAGCACGAACCAGATTGGAGACAAAAGATGATAACTGCTGTGGTGGATGCTTCCACCCGCATTGCACTCGTGGGCTTGAACCAATCAATATTGCACAACACTGTCGCCTTCATCGTACCTCCAAATCTGCCATAATCATCTGCTTTTCAACAACATATAGTGCTAATAATCAACAAATAAAGTAAACTAATAAACCAATAAACAAATAAACAAATCGGCCTTGAGTTTTCTATACTTGCGCTCGGCCTTCATTGACTTTTTGACTCTCGAGCAAGTAGGTTGTTAAATATGGTTTGGTCAACTTCATACATATTGGACTTGCCCTTGATCCCTGCACTTAAAAGTCAAAGTCAACGTTCTCATTTTTTTTTCTTTTACACAAATCAAGATGATTTGTACCAGGTAAATAAAAAGCTAAGTGTTGTAGATTCTTCCAGAACATTAATGATTAATATATATACAAATTAAGATATAGAAAGCATTTAAACCTGATTTTGTGTAGTTGTAATAGTGGTCCAATGTTGTGGTTGTGTTGTAGTAGTTGAATAGTCACTTACAAAAGCAAGTGTTCTAGATTCTTCCAGAACATTAACCGCAACCGAAGGTGGCAATTCTCTCATTACCCATAACACAAAACCTGAAGGTATGTATGAACCTGGAAAAACATGGCATGATGAAACTATGGATTAGGGCCAAATATCAAAAAAAATAGCAAGGTACTTTCATTCATTTGTTTATTATTACAAAATTCCACCCAATTTAGCAATGTCATCCAAATACAAAGCGATTAATTTTAGAAAACAAAAAGTAGAAGAAAAAATGGTGATTGATTTATTTAATATAATTTAATTTACGTATGAAGTGGTGGATAATGAGTAAAAGAGAGGCATAGAGTCCTCAAATTCCCCGCCACTCACAATGATACAGAACCTATGAAAATGAATGAATACATTAAATTAAGATCTTGAGGAAAATGACTGAATTAAGCACAAAAAATACATACGGGTATATTTGTAAATAAAGCAACGATTGAACTTGAAGTGAAACAAACAACAGAAACTATAACAAGTCTAGCAACCTGAAAAACAGAAACAAAATTGTTTGGTAGTATAGTAAAGAAAGACCTCATTACACTTTTGGTCCCTCTGTGTAATTGTAATATCGACTTTTTATTTTATTTTTTTGCATTTTTATTCCCTATATACATTTTAGGTCTATGACTTGCATAGTGTTTAGAAATGGGTGTTTAATTGATTTATTTAATTTAGCATCATAAGTGGACAGATAATCTCAAACAGAACAACATCAAGTCTTGATTGGAGCAGATTGTACATTGTAGTCTTGGAAAGACTGATGGACAAAAGTTGATGATTTCAAAAGGAATATGATAAGAGGTAGGTCACTCAATTTCTGAAAGCTAGAAAAAAAAAATTTAAGAAACATTGGAATGATGTGAGTGTGACTGACTACTCACCGGGTATAGAGGCGGGTCACTCAATTTCTTGGCCTCTGTGAAAGATAATATAGACACAAAAATAAATAAAAAATAGAAAACCACTGTCTATTTACCACTTCAGCATCATAAATATGAAGAAAGTTCAAAGTGTTACCTGGCTGGATAACCAAGAGACAGCTTTGGGGAGACAGATGCAAGTGCAGCCAAAACTGTAAGTAGGCTAATCACCTGTTTATTATAATGTTATTAGTTATTATGTATGATTAATGAAGTACATAGTAGATCAATTCTTGATGATTCAGTTTAAAACATCAGATCAGATGTTTGACTGCTCAAAAGGCACAACAACCAACAGACGTCCATGTAAGCTCACAATTGTTGATGTACAAAGCAGATCAATTCAAGATGGTAGGCTAATCACCCGTTTATTATTATAAGTCAAAAGTCAAACACAATAACTTTCACATAACACAAACACAGAGAGTCATTTATTTATACATTATAATCAACATACCTTTTTGAAAGCAATAATGCCCCACGGGTTGTCAAGTTGCTCGGGTTGACCCACCCGTGATGAGTAGACGTCCAGCTGGATCAGATTAGACTCGTACCTAAAAGTCATTGAGGACAAATCAGTCATTTTAGCTGAAAATAAAGCTAGAGCATTTATAATCAACATATATATTTACACACCTCTTCCCTTAGAAGCCCTGGAACTAGGGAATACACTTCAAAGAAATCTTTTTGCACATAACACATAAAGTAAACATAAGTCGAATGTGTGTTAATAATTTTTATAAATGTCAATGGTGTGATGTGACAATACACTTACGGTTTCTCGCACATTTATTTTCACCCAATTAGCAGGGGGCCAACATCAGCAACCGTGGTAACAACTCTATCACATTTCAAAACAAGCAGATGTATTTATAAACACTTAAATATTAAATATTATATGATAATTAAAAGAAAGTAACAAATATTAGCATTTAAAAACTTGATTCTTAACTGCCTAGATGTTTCCGTTCGTACAACCTTCACTGGATGCTGCACTTCACTTGGTCTTTTTTGTTTAAGTGACCCTATAAGTCAAAGATTATGCAATTAATATTAACAAACATATTTTGGTCTTCTTAATGTTAAAACTAAAACATTCATAACAATTCTCACCAATGCTTTTCAGACTTTTTTCGCGCTTTTGTGAATTGTTAGAATTCTTTTCCTAACAAAAACAAAGTCGATATAAATGGTAAAAGGAAAAAAAACATCTAATGTTCTCTCTATGTTTTCATAAGCTAATATAACCTAGAATCCATCCAGATGCTCTTCTATACGTCATTAAGGGTTCAGACTCTTGGAAATGGATAAGTTGTTGACGAAAGTTGAATTTAACTGATCACGCGTAACAAGTTGAATTTTCAACTAATTGAACGGGAATTGAAGAACCACCCAATCGCCAATGAATCTTCTAGAGACGATTATGGAGGAAATTGTAAGACCACTTCCTGAGGCATTGAAAAAAAAATGTGAATCTTAAAACAACTATATTGAAGGGTGTTTGTAACTAAAATCTACTATCACAATTGAAAAAAAATAGGAATCACAATTGTAACTAAATGTGATCGACCTCCAAATACAATTATATTGAAGGGTATTTAACCATTTCAAATACGATCACAATTGAAAAAAAAATATGAATCTTAAAACAACTAGGTCGGATCAAGGGATTGCTTACCTGTGGACGACATGAATAACCTCCATCAATGATTGAACTCATTCGATCCATTTAAAAGACTACCCTTTACCAAATCGATTGAAGACGTCATATTGAAGGGTGTTTGTAACTGAAATCTACGAGATTGATGATTTTAGTAAGCTAAGTAAACAGATGATGGAGTGTTGACATGGGGAAATGTGGATTCGAGCCCTAGAAGCTGAGAAGTAGACACATCTATGAAGCGGGGTACTTGCAATCGATTTGTTGGATGTGCTGGTCCGATTTTTAAGAAGATTTTGTGTAGTCCGGAGAAAAGCGCTAGTTCTTCCAAAGTTTGGGAGGATGGATCAATGTAACGGGGCTTAGGTCGCCTACAAGGAGAAGCGAGCATGAGATCACTAGACCCGAGGTTGCCGACAAGGTGAGGTTGCTGGCAAGGTGATGTAGCCGACAAGGTGAGGCGAGGTGATCAAGTGAGATTGTCGATCATTGTAGAGGCAGAGCACTAAGAACCGTCATCTTTCATCAGAAGTCGATGGCGGTGGGAGACCCTAGGAAGGGTCGAATAAGCAGTAGATGGCGGAAGGTGAATGGAGGTTTGAGAATCGAGAGAAAAGAAAGAAAGAAAGAAAGGGGGTTTTCAGCGGGGATGAGCTAGGGTTTTCAGCTGGTGGAAACAAAGCAGGCTTTTTAATTTTTGGATTTCATTTCCCCCTTGGGTGAAATGCGTGTTTCATTAAAATTTATAAAGCGACATGGTGAGACGACGCACATTTTATTTAAGGTGCCCTCCGTGTTTTTTTTATTAGACACTAATTTTAGGGCACGCAAAAAATGCGTGTTCTCTATGCTTCATATTTTGGAAAACTGACATTAAATTTTAGGGCACGTACAAATGTGTGTTCTCTATCAGCGCGTGTCATTGATTGCCCGTCGTAAAAGGCTATTTTTCTAGTAGTGACAATATATATCAAGTTCTTTAGAACTTGTCTAAAGTTACCACTATCTTATCCATAATAAATCAATTACATTTTTACTAACTAAACCTCATAACCATTTGTTACCAAACTATTCTAGTTTCCAAATATAATCACCTAACGACTTAACCTAGTAAGTCGTTATCCCAATTGACAAATCTCGGTAAACTCGATCAAATTAAATATTTATCTGATCACGGGGTTCGTAATAACACCATATAACAAAATCACGTAACAAATACTCAGGTCTAAACGTATTTATATAAAAACAGGATAAAAAGATACCCTCGCAAATGACGTAATTCAACCATCGTATCTATGTACGCCAATACGATTCTACGCTAACAGTTCTCCATAAACACCTCCTGAACATCTACCTTGACCACATGTGCCAAAACTCCTAAAACGACACAAATCGATCATATTTATATACTCAGCCATGTCGCACCGTTGCAAGAGGCGTGCCGCATCGCGACGATATAGATGTCTCCGACTTTGTCACACGTTTACTGGTTCGCCACGTGTCTCGCACAATCACGATGTGTCATGGTGACTCACTTCACTCCACGTTGCGGTGAGTATGCAACCATGCCGTGGTGACCCGAGAATTGACCATTTGACTTTGACTTTCGTTGACTTTCTCAAAATAGCAACATATTTTCATCCTAACTTTAAACGGTCATAACATAATTATACAAACTCTGTTTCGACGATGCTTATATCTACAAAATCGTCTCAAAGTAATCTATCACTTTCTTCCAGTAAATTATGTCCGTTCATGTATATTAATACCTATTATGAGAAAAGGGTATTACACTTGGTGGGCAAAGTTGAGAGTATTTGAGGAACATGCCTTGTTTTATCATGTAACAAAAGCCTTCACCACATGATCATTCTTAACACATCACCCTATTCATCCCTTGAAGCCGAATATTATTACTTTTTTGTGATGCTTTGTAACAACATTACGATTTTCATCAACTTCATTGTCCTCTCACCAAAGCTATGTCGTTTATTGTGATAACTAATAACGTTAGTGCCATTTACCTTGTGGGACATCCCCGTCAATATAACACACTAAACTTATTGTGATGAATATCCAATTCGTACGAGAGAACGTTGTTGATCAAGGGGAAATACATGTGTTACTTGCCCCTCACTGTTCCATACTAGTTGGTGCATGCCAAGGCAGTCTTACCATTTCACTACAAAAAATATGACATTTAGTGATATACAAAAAGTGCCACTAAAAATCCTAAAAAATGCCACTAAAGACTGCTCGAAGAATGAACGGCACAAATAAAAAGTGTCACTAGAAACGCTCCCACTAAAACCCTTTAGTGACACATTTTGGTTATGACGCTGCAGCATTTTAGGATTTTAGTGGCACTTCTTTATTTGACACAATAGAAAATAAGTTTTTTGTGGCATATATTTTGTGTTGGTAAATAGTAATTCAGTTTTAAAATTCATGTTGCTTTAGTGGCACTTTTTTAAGTTCTAGAATACAACAAAAGTTTTTGTGACACATTTTGTATCATTAAATATCAATGGAGATTCTAGAATTATACAACTAATAGAACTACATTTTTCAAGCTATAATATAAAACAAAAAACTAATTAAATTATAATCCATGAAAAATAATAAAATTTTCATTATTCTATATCTATGTCAAATAACTTTAAATGTCAAACCACATAGCCACTAAATATAATATATAAATAAACAAAGGTAACAAAAAAACTTTAAACTTCGTTGCAGTTGAACTTCTTCCCTGAACTTCATGTCATATTGAATAATCTTGCATATAACAAATACTAGCAATTCCCTGTTAATTACACATAAAAATGTCATTTTTTATTGTAATTTTACTAGAATACTTTTTTACCTCATTAAACACGAGACCGGATATTTTAGAGTAAGTAACTAAGATGATATCAACCTGCACGACATAAAATTTATTTTATAACTCTTGTTATATATATATATATATATATATATATATATATATATATATATATATATATATTTTAGTAAAAACTAGACATCGGTCTCATTGGGAATATATAGTATCGGAGGGATCATAAGTTATTTTATATATTCAACCAAGAGGGTGAAAAGGGCCTAAACTGGTTCAAAACCTTCTCCAGCAGGCTTAACAACATCAATTTGAAAGCAAGTTCAGTAAACTTTTTGAAAGTTACACATTTGACCCTTAAATATCATATATCAATTCTTTTACGACAAAAAAAGTAGGAATATTACCTTTCAGACATTCGTTTTTAAGTTGTAATATTCGATAGTATGGACACTAGATTCCAAGAAAACTTTGACTTGCTTCCTAATTTTATCAACATTGCGATCTTTTATGCGTTTTCTGCTCTTTATAAAAAATCAAGATGTTAAAATAAGGAAAATTATATATATATATATATATATATATATATATATATATATATATATATATATATAGAGAGAGAGAGAGAGAGAGACTATGTGGAAAACAGAGTAAACATACAAAGGTGAAATACAAAGATTTATATATCCAACCTGATTGAGACACAAGAGGTGGCATAACCAAAGTTTTCACCTTGGAAAAATACAACCAAAGCTTGACTAATATCACTTCCACCTGATTCCTATAACCATAGATGCATATGAACTCAAAGTTACTACATTGTTCGAATAATGATATGAGTGATATCACATGTGTGATTCCCAAATTTCATAAAGTGGGAGAAATTTGTGTAAAGCCACAGAAGTAATATATATTAATAAAAAACAAACAACGATTGATAAAAGGCTTAGGAAATGAGTACCTTGTTTGCAGCTTCAACAGCAGTCCCCATGACTTATTCAACCACAATTTACTACATATCAACATACTTTCATTAAATTGTTTATTATAGCATCATATTTTCGATCAATATTTGGGTAGATTCTTCGAAGTATAATACCCTAATAAGAAAAAAAAATGAAAGTGCATTAGTATGGTTCCATACATATTTCAAACTACAATGCTTTCTTTATAAGGAAAAAGTTGTAATAAAAAAATGAAAGTATGGTACTATGATACACAAATTATTAAAACTATATTGCCTAATATTTTGCATTTAGAAGCAAGTAGAGAGCAGGATTGAGAAAGACAAGTGCTTAATAGCGTTTGTTTCAAAAAATATCTTGCCCGAATTTCAAATTATCCCTGTGGAGCTGAAGATGGAATGAAAATGCAAGTCATAAAAAACCCATCATAAAAACCATAATTTTTATTATTAATTTCAAGAGTTGATTGTTATAATTTTAGAAACAGAGTTTTGGCTGTCAAGAGTGGGATGTTGGTTTGCGATTCAAGATTGACATGCTACGGATCTTATAGAAGAAACTGGTTTTCCTTGATGAAAGAAAGCGAATTCATTAAAACTTCACAGGTCCCTAAAACTCATAAGACATTTATTTAAATTTTTTACTGGATTTCCTGGAAACACTTAAAAGAAATTCACTTAATAATAAACTAATTTGTTCTTGATGATGATATAGAGCAAAAATAGTGGGATAGTTGTATGGGAACCGGCATCATCAAAATTGTTGGAGATTCTCAATCCTACATAGTTCTTCGTTGAAATTTTCATTGAGCACAAGTAAGAATATTTCTTTTCTGATTAGCAAAAAAAAAAAAAAGCAATGGCACAAATTAGTAATTAAATAATTTAACCCTATTAACAACTAAAAAGATTCAAAAATGCAAAATATTAATAACACTGATTTGCAAAACAAAAACTAATTTGACAACCTTAGAGCCATTGCTAGACTAATAGTCAATAAACAAAATTAATTTAAGTAGTAATTACCCTGGTCCTAATTCAATTGACAAGTGACAATAAAGACATATAAACAAAGAGCAGTTACCATAGCAAAATATTGAATAATGAAAATAGAAACTTCACCTTGCCAAGAAGACTCAATCATATCTTAGTGCATTCAACTTAGATCAAAGAAATCATTCTTACACTTAAAGCTCAGAAAAACATTAACTTTATGTATACCACTACATATTTAGAAGATTTCCAGCAAAACCTACAACTCCGGTAAGTTTCATAATCTAGCTAATTATGGTAAGAGTTTTACACAAATGTGCTCAAAACTAGTTTAGCCACATAAATTAAAATGTTCTGATTGTAGCTACCATCAAAAATCAATTATATTAATGTTTAAACATGATATATGTGAACAAGAGACATCTATTCAATTTTAAGCTAGTTTCACAATTTTGGCTATTATTTCTTAAGAAATAACAACCTAATGTTGTTATTACAAGATTGAGATGAATATATGCATGCCTCGAGAACTAACCTCATGTATCTGTCGTTGTTCATCTGAATCTACTTGTGCCAGTAGAGAATCCAGCAGCAAACT